TGCTCACGACGATGAGCTGGGCTGTCACCGCTTGGCCGCCGGTGGGGGGTTTGGGAGGCCGCATCGCACACAGACACCCACACACTCCCTCAACTTCCACGAACACACACATACGCAGACTCGTTTCCACACGGACATAGACACACGCACAGAAACCCACACACTACCTCAACTCACTCGACTTAACACTTCTCACTACACACTTACCGGATAACTCGCACTCTGATTTCCTACGTGATGAAAAATGCTTTCGGGCCACTCGTCGTCTAGTTTTTTTGTTTTGCTCCACATCCGAAATAACTAGTGAAATAAGCTTGGCCGCTTTGTTCAATCCATCATTCTCTTTCTTTTGGTTTTTAAGCCGTCTGCGTTGAACTTGGAGGAGGGGCTGGTGCACCATTGCCCACCGACAGCTTCTCCATGGCTGTCGTGATTGATTGGACATGGCTGTCTCCGCGGTTGATCCATGCGAACGACTTTCTTGGTCACTCTAATGACGACTTCACGCACAGAGGTAGGTAAGTACTAGCATACTCCCATGGGCCATTGGAGGTCCATAAGTAGTGTAGGGTAGTCTATTGAACAGGAATGTACTATAATGTATAAACGAACAAATCTATTGAATTCTATCAATGTTAGATGAGAAGATATGAGAGGGATGATTTTCCAATACACTTCTTTCTGATGTTCGACGAATTGCTGCGACCCCTGGATGGCCCGTTGGCCGGGAAGCCGGAGTATTCTCTCCGAAGCCGGGAAGCCGCTTGGGAGGGTCCAAGGAAGACCCGAAGCTGGAACGCTTCGGCCGAAGCCACTCGACTTGCGTTGATTTTCTACCATGGTGTTTGAACAACCTGATGCTGATGCTCAGGAGGGAGCAATTCGGAGCTGGGGGTATCCATATTCCCCTTGAAATAAAGGAGTGCCCTTATCGCCTAGTGGTGGTTCCTGGAGGACAAGATCACACCGCAAGCCTTCCCGTGAGAGGTTATAAATATATTGGATCCACAAATCTCACTTTTTTGGGGGAGGACCTCCAAGCACACATTTTCCTGGATGGACAAGCACGGAAAGAATCATTCTACACCTTGCCACCACTAGATTTCAGGCCTGAAACGTGGACTGTCTTGCTCACCCATGCTCACCCATGCCTCTGGGTTAGAAGCAAGGATGAGAATGGTCGAACATCATTCGACTTTCGACGCCTCTCCGACCTCCGACGTTCGCCTCGCTGCACGCCGCTTGGACCCGCCGGTCACCTTCCGGCTCAGTCCCTTAGAAGGGCGACGAAAGGCGGCGGAATCGGGACGTCTGCCAGGCCGATGAAACATCGACGGTTTGGAAGAATCCTTCGATCCAATTGAATCTTTTCTTGCGTCAAATGAGTCAAACGAAGGGTTTGTATATGTTTGTGGATTTTGATGGATTTTGGTCATTTTGTGCCACATATCGATGTTTGATGTTTGATGCTCAGTGACTCTGGATTTCAACCGGCCATTGGGTTCCTACGGCCATGACAGGCGCTTTCGGGGTCTAACGGCGCGACCGCCACCGGGACCGCCACCCCACGACACGAGGCATTCAACGGCCGCGGAACATCCCGCCTCGTTGGGGAGACCCAGTCATGGGAGGTGCCGACGGCTCGCCGGGTTCATCGTTGGATAGGCTATAGGCTGGTCCTATAGGTACCTATAGGTGGTTGGATGGTCGCAGGTTGGATGAATGCTTGGGACATAGGATCGGTCAAGAAGACCTTCACGAACATCATCGAACATCCATCGACCCCTGCTTTTCATGATATGTTTGTTTGAGGTTCCAACTTAATCTGAAGGGGTGTGTGGGCATGGGTCGGGTGTGGAGATTTGAGGTCCAAACCTGGTGTGTGAAGTTCCATTTGTGCTGGTATGTAAACGCTTCTCTGCATGCTGAACAGCGTTGCATGGAGTCAAGACCATCAGAAGTACTACTCTCTGTCTAAGCTCATCTCAGTGGAATCCCCATGCATATGTAAAGGACAGAATTTGGAAGCCGATGCTGTAGCAATCAGGCTATTCTTGCAGTGCTTTCGCTGCATTTGGTACGGCTGATGGCTTGCAGCATGTAATCAATGGGTTTTGTATGATGGCAGGTGATTTGTAGGAACCAAGAACCTTCACGAATCATGCCCAAGTGGCCCAACTTATTTGCAAACTAGATCTTGTGGTTGGCCTAAAACGCCTTGTTGCCTTTTTATCAGGTCACTAGGTCACATCAACCAGTCACGCGAGACGTCACACGTCACACGGAGTCACCGATGGGCGATGTTTCTCGGCGGACCGGAGCCGCAATCTTGGACAGCAGAATCCGGTGCGCAGAAATCCTAGTTGGGAGAATTTCCTGAATTTGCTTTAAACTTCTTGGTGATGCGGTGGGTCCAGAGATTCCAGACTCGAGCAGACAGAGGTTTTTGCGAAACATCCGCCCGGGGGCTGTTGCTATGTGGAAGCTGAGGGTGTTAGGTTCAGTGGGTTTGAAGACGTGTCATTGTTCATGTTATAATATATATATATGTTGGCTCGTACTTTTGTGTAATGTGGATCTTAGCCTGGTCCGGGCTGACACATAGTTTTCATGTTGTTTCGGGATGAAACCATCTTTAGAAAAAGGTCAACCCATTCCAGGCTGGCCATGTATATCAAAGCGACCATCATAAGGCCTATCTCCGAAGCTGTTCAACTGTGAAAAGACAGTTGGTGCTGCAGGGGGACTCATGATGCCGGATGCCTCATATGCCCTCGTTCTCGTTCTATCATGGCGCCTCATATGCCTCAGCAGGTTCCACGCCTCCACAGAGTCACGTCTGAAAGGTCACACCTTTCAGGCAGTCCGTGACTCGCAGTTTCGTCCGAAGCAGTCGATTTGCGACTGCTGCGACTCCTGCGACCGCCGCACCGACTGCGATCGCATCGATGAAAAAGGGATTCAAGAGAGGTTAGGTGACCGTAAATAGGACCCTACTGGGGTACCCAACTGGGATAGTCTAGGGATAGGGTCCTTCAACCTCTGTTGGATTCCAAACGCAGCGCATCGCGCGTTCAATGCTCGCTGCTCGGGTGGCTGGACGAGACATTCAGGTTGACGAATGTTGAGAGGCCTTGTGAGGTCCCTGGCGGTGTCCGTACCTTGCAGATGTGCCATACTAGGGCAACTCGAAAGATAGCAGGCTTTTCAATGTGTTGAACAAGGGTAAGCCTGTAGGGCCTACCTGCGCAAATGCGCAGGAACCCCGCCTGAACCCGTTTGAAGCTGGGATGGCCCGAACAAACTCGTGCAAAGCCGCACTAGCCTGCGCAACCAAATTCAGACACCACGCCCGTCGCGCTGCATTCTGTTATCATACAAAACCCAGAAGCCTATTGCGTGTGTAAGGCTATTGGTTGACCAAAAAGAGAAGCTTGAAAGCATGCTTGTTTGGCTTCGGCAGATAGATTTGGCTTTGACGGGTGCAAAAGGACCACAGGTTCTCTGGTCCCGACATGGAAGTGATCAGACGCAGACCACGAGCTTTGGACAGCGCGTCGTCTTCCCACCAGGCTCTCTGGGTTTCCCATTGGCCAGCTTTCTCACACCACCAGCGTGTGGCATTCTGTGAGCCACCTCTTCCAGACACCTGATCGGCTTTGCACGAGTCAGGCGATGAGGCGATGGGGCGATGGATTGTCTGTCATTTCAGAGATTGCTTCAAGGGATCACAGGATCGCATGCATGACGCGTGGTGCTCGCCTGTGAGTGATCACGGATGTGCGGGAGACTTCCCAGGCAATTACCGTCTGGAAGAAGGAAAATAGACCAAAACCATCCAAGAGCCTTATATTAAAATACACACCCAACCCATGTTCTTTTCTTCTCTGCAAGCTTCCGACAGAGGTTGAGCGGCCACATAGGTCCGCTTCGGTCACCGTCTGCATAGGGCCCAAAATTGTGATTGCCAGATAATTCCACATTTTGCACCATGGTTGTTTATGGGATTGAGACAGTTGGCGCAATGCACCAAAGGTAGCTTAAGCATGCTTAAGCTGCATTGCCTTAACAGAATGGTCCACAGTTCCGCACTCAGCCCTCAGCCAGGTGTCACTTGGAAGTTCGGGATGTTTCGGACGTTTCAAATGACATCTGGGTTAGCCCTGGAGCTCGGACGTTTCGTGCTGTGGACGGAGAAACGAAGGAAGTTCAAACACCCGGTGGATAAGCACAGTGGGGTGTTTTTTGTGAAACCATGCCCACAAGAACCATCGAGTCTACCTCGGCGCTTGACCGTGTTCTTGATGTTTTTTTGTACCGCCGCTCGAAAACCGACGACTTGGCCTCGTGCACGGGCGAGGCCGGCCATGGTCGTCCTTTCTGCGGCCATTATCAAAAAGGACAAGACCCTTGTCGCAAGCCATACCTGGCCTGTTTGACCTACAGCCTGTGCCATCCCTTTTGGGGGGGTTGGTTTCCCTTCGAAGTACAAACAGTGCAAGAAAAACGCCTCATGCAAACTGCCGAGAGCACTGACGTGTTAAGTTTGGAAGCAGCAGGCTCAAGAGATATGATATAAGGTGTAGATGACCTTCAAGGAAACATTTCTACGACGTGAGGGTGTGAAAACCACCAAGCAAGCCAACGCATCCGACAGGAACTTATTCTATGACAGCGGGGTATGCAGGGTTTCGTGATCCTCGTGCGGACTCTTTGCAAGATGAGTTCTTGTTGATCAATGGTGGCACCTGGTACTGCCCACTTCAATGACGTCCATGGTTGTTATATTGTTCAAGAAGCACATGTTTTCTGAACGAGTTCAGACGATCACCACTACTCCAAGAAAGGATCACCAACAAACCAAACCCTCCAGACCTCAACACCGAGTCCTGAATCCCGTCGCCCGTCGCCCGTCTCGCGAGTCCGCCCGAAATCATTCGCTCATCGATTTCCAAGAAGTGCCCCAGCACCGTAGCCTGGTTTGGCACTGACTCCTCATTTCAGGGTCTATTCAAGATATTCAAGGAACCGGCCGAACTGGTTCGGCCCCTCGAGCTGCTCTGCGTTCAGTCTTTAGAAGCACCGGTTTGACCAAACGCGGATTTCCTCACGAATCGGCAGCCTTGGCCAGGGCAGTTCGTCGAGATGACTCGTCTCCGGATCGAGGTTCGAAGGGTAGCAGCAGTGGAGCAGTGGTGTTGGCCAAAAGACTCAGGATGGTTGAGGTCTACTTGAATATATATATATATATATATACAAGACAATCGGATAATAGGGAGAACCCCAACCATTGGGCTTTCGGTTTTCATCACTTTTCCTTCTTCCCAGCGGGTCGTTGCCTGGGAGGTCTTCCTATTATTGTAATGCACAATCAGATGATGGATGCTATAGGCGCAGACAAGTGGATCCTGGTTCTGCTTAAGGTCCTCAAGGTGATGTTTCAACATTTTCCCTAAGCAAATCACCTTAAGCATCCCTAAGCTTACCCTGGTTTAACCATCCCTAAGGTTAAATAAATTCCCTTCTGATGGATATTTTACCATTTTCCCAGTTCCTGAAGCAAATCGAATAGAGAGGGCCAAGTCGTTCACGAAGCCTTTGGACGGTGGGTTAATACACCAGAGCTCCCGACCGTCTCACAGCCTGGTTGAGCTTGGTGGCGCCCGGTGACACGTCATGTGGTCACAAGAATCCGTGACAATCGATTTCGAACGAAAAGAAAAGCAGACTGGAGTCTTGCCAATCAACATTACTTTTGCATCATGGCTGCCACTTCTTCCTCTGGAGTTTAAGACCCAGAGGCACACTGGATGCCTCTGGAGACACAAGGCCACTGATGCCTCAAGCTCCGTACCAAACCCTCCACGAGACCTCTCCCTCTCCGCCAGGGCCTCCTGGCACCTTCCTCGGAACTCGAACTCGCGGCGACCACCAGGGTCTGCTGGGTGCCTTCACGAAGCTTGTGGACAGTGGAAAGGATCACACCTTTGCTGGGCCTCCCAGTCGACCTGTTTGCCACCGATCTGGTCAGTGGGTCGGTGGGAGAGGGAGTGGAGGGCCTCGGGAATTGCTATGAGCTGTTGGACTCCTAGTTTTGTTTGGGGGAGGTGGCAGGTGGCATCTATTCTGTTCCATTTCTAGGGTCAAATGATTTGACCCATGGCCCATAGCCATTTGTCTTCCTCTTTCTCTCTCTCTTTTCGGTTACCAGTAGGGAGCGGAGGCCGATGAGTCTTGCTTGGGAAAATCTGCCTATCACTGCCTCCGTCATCGGGCCTGTTCCACTTCCTTGCAAACCAGAGTCGACCAAAGCACCTGAAGTTTCTGGAATTCCAAGGCACCCCAACTGGTGGAATTTCGATGAATTGAGTCATGGTTGACCACTCTCCTCTCTCGCCTTTTTGCCTAAAGCAAACAACGACGACGACGACGACGACGACCACCACCACCACCACAATAAAGGCCGACCACCCAAACCATGGATGTTTCTTTGGCCACTCCTCTGCCACCGCATCTTCACCCATCTTCACCCTGCCTCTCCTGTGACTGAGGTCGAGACAGAGTTCGAAGCCCAGCGGACGCCCATGGTAGATGGGGCCACGACGGCACTTCGCCTCCCTTTTTGGCACTTTTCGAAGCTCAAGAGACGGCCACTGAGGTCCGTGCGCTATGTCTACCAGCCCATGGAGTCTCTTAACCTAGTAGTGATCACTAACAAGGCCAGCAACATTTTGGAGGACCGACCACGTCTGTTTCTTCTCCGCAAGCAACCCATACTCGGAAGAGTATCAATGAAAGACCTTCACCGATGACCGACTAGCGCCGAGCCCTCCACGGCTCAGAGAGAGCCCTCCAGAGCCGACGTGCCGTAGGACTTGGAGACGCTGCGGCTACTAGCGAAGGCATGACGGGAAAAAGTCGACTGTTGCACTTGTGGGCATAAGGAAGTATGGACATGGGTGTGTCATGGTGTGTCTAAAGATTTGGTTCAAGAGTGCAAGGGTTTGGAATTCCAATATACCATCCAACGCACAATCATCGCATGGTTTGGTGGATGGCCCCCGGCTGTTTGGAGAGGAGTCCGCCTTTTTTCCAAGTGGACGACCCGATCCACACTCCATGTGAGCGAAGTAGACGTGGAGTGTAGACCACGACATCCAACCAATTCGGGATCTTCAAGCTGGTCTCAACAGGTCCGGCTAACAGGTCCCATGATGTCTGGGAAATGATGCCTTTTCCCCAGGGTAGTTTTCAAGGCATCTGAGAAGAGTAATTTTCTATCTCTTTCGGCGTGGTTTCTGTTTGGAATGCATGGGTCAGCAGTCGGGTTTCCTTCAAATGAGGAAGGCACCCCTGCATTTTCTCCGCCGCCGTGACAGTTCTCGCCGGTGCTCAGGTGGTTCAAGACTGCTGTGAGATTCAGGTCTCTGAGGAAAATGTGCTATCCTGAGAGGATGGTCTTGAGGACAACTAAAGACGGATAATTAAAGTGAGTGTGATCATCCAAGGCTTCACATGTTTCAAGGTTATGACTTATGACCTTGGTGTCAGGTTGTGAGTTTCTTCACCCTGGTTCTGCCAACTGAAAATGGACTAGACTGGTTCGACTGGTTCTTCTGTTCTTCTCCAGTCATTTTGGACTGCAAGTATTGGACCTGATAATACCGTGTCTGTCGCTACGGCAACCATGAGCGTTACTGCAGTGATGAAACCGCCGTCTCCTTCCCCCCAGGCTTCTGAGTACAGGCTCTTAAAGAAGCAAGCGCTTCATCATTTTTTGAAGGACATTTAGGTGTGACGATCCGCGTCGATGTTGGCTGCCTGTTCAGGAGCTTGTCTAAGGATAGACTAGACCTTTAGTAGCCTTTAGATTCCTTTAGTATCCTTTATAGTCACCAACAAGGACCGCCCCTTCGGGCGGCGGAACGCCGGATTCGGACCTTGTCTCGGATCGTCTCGGAAGACGAGACTTCGGGTGACGGCCTGAGGTCCTCAAGCATGCCTTCGACATCGTCTTCGCTTTCGATGAGGCCGGCCGTTACATCAAGCGCCGAAGCAGGTGATTCGTACTTTTTTCGGCTAAGAAGGGGGTAGATGTTCCGCGAGAAATGAATGGGAGAATTCCTCTTAGACCGTCTGTCGCCTGCAAGATCTAGTACCATCCCCAGCTCCCAGCCCTATAGGGTTACAACTACTACCCGACACCAACGAGCTGGCTTTGGCCCGCGACCGCCAGAGGTGATCTCCTTCGGATACCGCGAGAGCGTCCGGGCCCCCGGTGGCATCGGCGGTTTCCGTGTGACCACCGTGTGCCCGCGGAAAGCACCGTGTGACCGGCAGAAACCACGTATATAATCGAAGTTTGGTGGTTCGTTTCGCATTCTTGAGCCACCATGAGACGCCAGTCAATAATAGCTAATTCCCACAAGAAAAAGCACGCGGAGGCCACGGGCTCCGGTAGGAATAAAGTAATGTTCAGTTATGAAAACATATTGTTAAAGAAGCCTCCAACGTCAGATGGAACCTGCCAGTGACCTGCCCAGACGTTGGCACTCACCTCCCTTTTTTTGGAGAAGCCCCGCAGGTCACTCTCTCGCAGATCAAAACCTACACAGAGATGGACAGCCACGAGGAGAGGCTGTCGGGACTCCTAGACAGACCCACCGTTGCGGTTTTATTTTTGGATGGGGAGCCGTCTCAAAGAGAGGTCAGCTTAAAGGCTTAACGTGCTTTCACTTGGTTCAGCTGATTTGCGAATGCTGAGTGCGACTCAAAGTGAATGAACATAGCCAAGTTGTGCTTTTCCAGGCCACTAAGGGCCCCAGCTTGCGACCCCTGGCAAGGGGGAACGGTGATGATCACCTGGGGTGTTTTAGGTGATTTTCAAGGTGATGCGATGTTCTTTGGGGTTTGGAGATAGAGAGAGAGAGAGAGAGCCAGAAAGGGTTAAAAACCGGAGGCGGCTGATCATTCGAAGCTACTGTTGAAGCCACATCCAGTTATGTAAGAGTTTGGGGGCCAGAGATTTGAACGATCTTCTTCCAGCCTTGGGAACCACTGCTTCCCTACTACGGTGGTAGCTGGATCCACACCCACAGAGCATGAGTGATCCTGACACCGTCCCAACCACGGTCGCTCATGTGGGCCACGACGGTGGAAGACCGCCGTCAGAAGACATGGTAAAAAGCATGATCAGGGACGCTACGAACGGGGCTACGTTCGGGGCTCCTGGCATCGCTAGGAGCAAGGACGCTACTAGGAACAAGTGCATCGCTTCTATAGTAACAAGTGCCTTACTACTAGGAACAAGAAGCTACTAGGAGCACAGGGCATCGCTGCTAGGAGCAAGGACGCTACTAGGTTTGGCCTTCAGTTCGATGTTTCTTTGCTTTTCGGAGGGTCACCCGGAGGGTCACCCGGAGGGTCGCTTGGGTCACTGGAAGTGCGGGGTTGGGTCACTGGACCTCCTGGCAGTTGAAAAGAACGGGCGACCAGTTGGTGGATGAAAGGCACCTGTTCAAGATCGAAACCAGCAAACAACTAGCAAAAAGGGTCATTCCAACTCCGACAGACTGCGACAGTTGATCTATCAAACCATATCAAACCCAAAGTGGGTTTGAAATGCGGCCACTATTTCATGGAGCAGGATTTCTAGAGCCAGGTTGAGCAATGGATCGAAACACACGGACCCTGACCTCCGCAACAACCAAGGCACATGATGGTGGAACAGAGCAAGATCAATGAGGCAGCAGTCTAAGTGTGGAAGTTCGGCAGAATTCTACTTGTGTAGGTCTCCTGAGCATGGCAAGAGCACAGTTTTTGCACCAGGTTTTCATTTTGTACTGACCACCATCCAACATGAGTGTGTTGCCCCATTTTTTGGCTTTCTACTTCTTGCTGGGACGTGTGGTCTACTGAGCGTGATCTTGTTGCCCACACAAAATCCGGAGGAATATTCCGGAATTTTCCAGAACAAACATGACATTTGAGAAACACTAACATCTTGCTCAAAACCTCAAAACTTCATTTTTTGAGCCCTAGTGTTCTTCCACCTCGGATATGTTCAGCTCGATCCGCTTCGATCCTCAAAACATTGGTGAACTCCTCCTGTAGTGTTTGACCATCCTCCTTATGCTGGGGGGGTTATCAATTACACAATGAGATGGACAGGGGGACCCAGATGCTATGAATCTAGGGCATCTAAAAGAAATCATGAACATTTGCTGATTCACCGGATGGATCGTCAAGACGATGTCTCAACAGCAACGTACCTCCCACGGAAGAAGCACCTTGAATCCACTCCCGTCGAGTCATCGAGTCTCTAGGACACTTGATCCCGCTCGACTGGCCAACACCGCCGGCTCCCGTGGTGGGACAGCCCCCCTGCCTCCCAAAACCACCCACCGCCTCTACCGCGTCTTCCTGCGTCCCGAGACGACCGCGACGCCTGGAGGCCAGAGAGATGGCGAAGAAGAAGCAAATGGAGCTGGTCTCGACGCCCAGAGCGAGCTTCCGGGAAGTCTTCCGGGACCGGCACAACCCATTTGGAGCGCAGGACGACGGGATCCGTGAAAGGTGATGGCTCAATGTTAGGCATTGTGATGGGCCTTTTCCAGGGCCTTCCAACTGGTTCATTGACCAACCTGTGAGTCATGCGGAGACGAAGGTCACCCCTTTTCCTCATTCCGAAACAGCCTCCCGAAAAGAAGTGGTTTCATAGACCCTGACGGAAGGGTGTTTTCTACACTCTGAAGGGTGTTTAACATAGACCCGGGTCCGTCCTGGCCCCCCTGGGTCCGAGTGTTTTCCTCGGTCGCTGCACTGGTGGTTTTCAGGCTCCATGGGATCGTCTTCCAGGGTGTACTCGTTTGGACCTTCGTTTTGACCGCCTCATCGGTTTTCGGGAGTGTCAACACCCTTCAGAACCATTGGGATCGGTTTGACGTCTCAACCGTCGGGATCGGCACCCCAGGCGAAGCAGCGCGCGTTGCAGCCGAAAGATGCAGCTGGACCTGGCTTTGGCAGTCTGCAGCTCAGCCCCGGGCGCTGTGCTTACCCCGTGCACGCCGGGGTGCATGTAGGTAGTCGTGGTCTGAGTGCGAGCTGGTGGGGAAGAAAGATGATGATGGTTCCTCTTGGCGCATTTCCCAACAAATCACCTTGGAGCTGCGTTGCTGCGCTTTGGTGCTTGGTGTCAATTCCATACACCGGCGGTCGAAATCCCTACACCGCGGTCATCAGAGCTTCGACCGGTCCGAACCAATGGGTGTGGGTCTCAACCGACCGGGCCCCCGGTAGACTGGTCATGCCCCCGGTCTGGCTCGGTCTGGATCCGTGTCAGGGCAAGCAGGACCAAGACAACGAGTCGCCACGGATCCCGCCTTTGGCCAAACGTGCCAAACGGTTCAAGCAAAGATTGAATAATTATGCAAAATACATCAATATACTGGGGACATCCAACTTTGGCTGTCCGATGGAGATCCCTAAGCACTGCAGGGCGGGCACGGGTAGTCTGGACACCCCTTGGATGGTCCTGGTGTACCACCTTCCAAACTGCCAAATCCATCCAAATCCATCATTTCATGTAATCATGGTGTATAGATGTGTAATTATACTAGAACAGGAAAGACCATGGAAGACCCCTCAAAGACTTCTGGGACAAGCAAAAAGCCACCAAACAACCTGGGCCAGGAACCTCCCTCCGATTGAAATACCTTACTGTACCAGGTGGGAGGCTCCCACTCCGACCATCCGTGCCACGCTCGGTGAGGCGATTCCCTTCCTGGGATCGGTCCGAGCAGCATGGGCCATGCCCTCAGGATGCCTGGCAGGCACGATCCAATAGGAGAAGATCCATTAGCTTAGAATATAATTAGGTTCATAGTTCTAAATCGGGTAAGACTATAAAAAGAATGGTCTGATATGGTGACACGAAAAGGAATGTCCTTTACTTCAGTCAGTCAAAATAGTCTTTGGACTTCTAGGGTATATATATACATGGAGTTTGAATATCTCAGACCAACAGTGCACTGAAAGGCTATCAAGCAAGCAACAGAATAGCAGAGAGAACAATGACACTGATGGGACCATCAATTTTTTTCGCCGGTGGCAGGGCTGTGGCTCTCATTTAAATACCATACAAGGCACATCGTGCGGCACTGTCAATGAAAAAGAGGCAAGTGTGCGAGACAAAGCAGTGGCGCCTTTACGACAGTGGCGCCTTTACGACAGTGGCGCCTTTACGACGCATGTCACAACTGTGAGCCCCACAGTTTCGATATTTACGACCTGGCACGCAGCACGTTTTCGTGTTTTTCGTTCGGTTGGCCTTACATGTTGTGCAACCAAGGCAACAGCTCCTTCCAGGACACCATGCCATCCATGGGTGCGGTGTCTTAGCCGGGAGAGGTCGGGCATGCGCCTTTTTGGCCGTGGGCTTCAGAAAAGGAGACTGAAAGGGTGGTGGATGATAAGCATCCCAACATGAATACTTTTTCTGCTGTTGTTCTTGATTTGCTAAAAAGGAGAGTAGCCGATGGAAAAGCAGATGAATCATGATTCCATGTATGTTGGCGTTGGCATGCTTGTTCTTTTTCGTGTTCCATCATACTAGAATCCACCATGGGCTGTTCATGATTGTTCTATCACCGGGAAACCCAAAACCAGGAGAATCAAGAGGTGACCAGTTGACCGGGATCAGCTTGATCGTGGTATTAGATTATGGCTCATATACTATTGGACCCGGAGATCATGAAGATACCAACAATTCCTCAGGTGCCTCTAAATTACCAATCTCATCTAAACAGGGACTGACTCTTATCCTTCCTGCTTCAACATATTTCCTGAAGCTTCACATCACGCTTCATTTCTCCGGAACCGTCTCCTTTCCGTACTCCTACTCCTACCGAAACCTTGACCCGAACCCTCGACCGTCCGGCCACCCGGTCGACCTCGAAGGAGCTTGGGTCCGTACTCCTTCGTCCGGGGCGGACCGAGGCAGCGGCCTGGGCAACGACATGGGCTCTGCACCTTGGTCGTCTTCGATGGCCGAGGTGCCGGACGCATGCCGATCGATCGGCCGGATGACGGGAGGGGTGGAGGTGGCGGGACGGGTGGTCTCGGCGGAGGTTCGGTCTTTTGGGGGTTTAGACCCTAAACTGTTCTAAATTCAGCACCCTCGGTGACCCCCAAACGGTCGAGCTTTGCTCTTTGTTTGGTTGCTTGACGCAAATGCGCGTATCTAGAAGAATGCTTGACTTGTTGCAGAACTATATGGATTGCGTGGATTGGAATGTGTTCAAGCAGATATTGGGGTTTGGAAATTGGTGTATGGTTCATTTTGGATCCAAAAACCGACCTGAAGGTGTTGGACACATGGTCAAGACACCAGGCTTCCAAAACACTAGGAAACATGGTCAAGAGTCAAGACGCTGCTTCATGTTTTAAACGCCTTTGTGTACACAGATGCAAGAACTTCTTCACTTCACAAAGGAACGCAACCTCTGGATGATAGCAACATCCGTCCCAGGATCGCCTTTTTTGAATGGTTTTCCGGCGCCGAACATCTCGAAATCCCACGAGGTTTTTCTCGCTCTTCAGTTGAAAGCCCCACTCCTTTCGAAGGATCACGGCCAGGACACGGGCCCTGCGCCGCTGAAGCCGGGCGCGCCGAAGAAGGGAATGGCCCCTTGGCGCTCATTCCGGGTGGTGTGACTGGGACAGGGGTGGGCGAGGATGACTGGCATCGTGCTCTATCAGTCTCTTGAGTTGCTTCCAGGTGTGGTTTCGAGTCTTTTTCCGAGTTCACCCCCCCGCTCAAGAGCGGTTGTTCCGGGGTTGGTGGTTCTTCTGAGGCGAGAGGACTCGGGGGAGAGAGAAGCGGCTCCAAGAAAAAGCAGAATGAGATGATCATCGACCCTAGTGGATTCGACTTGGTTGATGTTCTGTGGTGTTTGTCTTGATGGGAACATCCGAGGCGCAAGAAAGAAAGAATCGGTGCTACCCGATGTCTTTGAAGCGCCGATGGGACATATAAAGATCATATAAAGCAATGTACCTTAAGACACTGCCTTGGTGCAGCGGGCCTTTGTGAGAGGTGTTTGTACGGCCTTGCGTTTCATCCTCCGCAGCAGCGACGGTCTGTAGGCGTTGGGCAAAAAGAAGCCGGCCGACGTGCTTGGCAGTCTGGGCCCCGGTCAGAGAGAGGTGCCAGCTGGGGCTCAAAAGTTCTTCATGAGAGTTGCCATGGGACATTTCCTTCAGCAGTATAAGAGGTGACTTACATGGTCGCCAATGTAGGAAATGTCCCATAGGTGTTAGTTGCCTTTGTCAGCCATGTAATTATGTGCTTTGGCGACCCTTTTCCTTCCCAAACGGGTCGCGCCGTTCCGTTCCGCGCGTCGGCCGTCCGAGACCTTCCGCTGCCCCGGACGCGATCGGACGGTGTCACCGGAGCGATGACAGGGTGGATGGTCGAAAGAGCAGGGGACCAGGGGATCAACCAGGGGATGCACCTGGGATGACTGAAGAATTGGCAAATGGGTGTCTATATAAAAGGTATACTAGTATAATCGTATTTAAAATGGGCAGACCTCCCAGGCAACGACCCACTGGAAGAAAGAATTTTGACCAGTCTAGGAGGTCTGGGGCCAGGAGGTCTCCCTATTAGGATGCACACCCAAATTGGTTGGTTCGGGAGATTCTGAGGTTCCCCACCTTGAACATGGTTGAACCTATGTGGTCATTGGATCGGGAGGTCAGATCTAGCCCTTGCTCCGATCCGTTCATGCGAAGCCTGAGATGCTCAAAAAGGGGGATGCCCAGTGCAAGACAGACTCCTAATATATAGTCCCCCAAAAAACAGGGATAAGGCTACACAACCTACTCTCCCAAACAGAACATCCCAAAGAGGATAAAGGTATTGAAGGCATGTATGTTGGTCTCGGCATCCCCGCCCACTTTGCTCCCGGCTCATTTCACTGAGGTATGGGGCTGCCTGATCCGATGCCCACGGAGGCACTCCGCCCTGCGCAGCGCAGCCGTTCGACTGGTCACCGTTGGTTCGGGCCGCTGAGTCGAGACGAGTCGTGAAGAACTGCCGAACGACTGCAGTGCTTTCTGACTCGTCTTCACATCAAACCCAACGGTCGGCGCTGAACAACATCGACGTTTTGGTGCGCTGTCGATGTGGTTGCAAAACACATCGACGACGACGAGTCCTTCGGCGTCGTGTCGGCCCGGCGCCACGAGTCGTCGCTGATTGAGGTGAGTGCGAAGGTGGATGGATCGCCCGATCGCGATGCTGGTGTTACATGAAGCACGTCGCGGCACGTCATGTGACGGATCAAGATGAACTTGTGCACATGGCATCCAAGCCCTGTCTCTGAGGAGCAGGATGTGCCAGAGAGTCCATGTATCTCCATGTTCTCCCTCATGTAGCCTATCTCTAGTGGGGGACCGAAGTGGTCGTAGCACCATGGACCGGATTCCTGGCATAGGGGCAATCCAAAAGATGAATTGTCTTGGAAGCGCCTCTACTCCTGAACACATCTTCTCATTGAGTGGAAGGATCATGAGCAACATAGGATGATGGCCAAGCGATTCTCTCATCAATATCCAATCCTCCCATCTTCCATTCACACCTAGTTCTCCGGTTCTCTGCATCTCGTCACAAGTTCTCTGCTCCACGGAGGCCGTAGCTGAAGAGCCGGCAGCGCATGCGGCGCCGGCTTACAACCCCTTGTGGGGGCCTACTCAGTCGTTCGTGCGCGTGACACCGTCGAGGCCCAGATTCGAATCTGGGGGCGAATCTCCACTCTTTCACCATCGACGTCAATATATGATAATATATGATATATGTACGATCGATATACACATACATGTATATTATATTCTATTAATGTATCAAGATATGATATGATATGATAGATGATAGATGATACATGATACATCATATACCAAAAGATTGTGAACCGTCAAATCCTGCTTGATGTATGATTGCAGTGCCATAGACCGTATGCTCGTTTTTGTTTTTCTTTTAAGACTGGTTTGCGGAAGCCAGGGGGCATTTTCAAGATCGATGCACATCAGATTGGCTGCCAGTCTCCAAACAAAAGAGGCTCCACGACTCCGCCAATGGGTGTGTCGGAGTCGATGACCCTGGTGAATCCGTTGGGTGTCGAAGCCGAGGATGGACCCCGTGAGAGTGGACATCGAGGACCGGACCCGAGAGGAAGGTCACGCCGGTCACCCGAGAGGGGCGTGTCTTGGGGTTTTAGCGGCGTGGAGAAATGGAAAAGAGCTGTGACCATTTGTCGCATGAGTTCATCTTCGCAGCTTGGTGGAGGGCCTGAAGAGTAGGAAAGCTGATGTGGCTCCGAAAAAGACCAATTTGAATCACGATGACATGACCTCGCAGGAGAAGATCACGGCAGATTTGCAAGTGGAGGGAGGGTCAAACTGACATGTTTGCCCTTACTCTCGTCGTGGGATAGGGGTGGAACATGCAGGCGCGGGACTTTTGTGGTACATGCTTCAGCTCTTGGATTGGATGGAAGGACATCTACATCACCTCACCAACTGTACGTAGCCTCTCTTGGATCCTCGGTGGCTTCCCTCTGCAAGGGCCTCGGTGGCGGGCTAAGGTCATATTTTGCACCAGGACCTTCCAAGTCCGGTGGTTTTTGGACACAATTCACCTCCAAAAAGGCTATTCTATACACCTCTTGGAGGCTGCGAGTCGTCGACTTCGCCAGGGTCGACCTTCGCAGGTCGTCGAACGTCTCGTCGAACGTCTCACCGGTTTGACGGGAAATCCAGTCGAACTCGCTACATGGGCTGGCCGGGAAGCATCCCCAGACTCGATGTCACTGGAAACAGACATCCAACTTCTTCTCAGGGATTCTTATATAATTGCTGTGGGGTCCACCTGTTTCTGATGGTCAGATAATGACCAGGCACAGCCTACGCCGGCCTACTGCGGCCGACGCCTCGCCAAAGGCCTCTGATGGTGTCCTTTGGACGGGCCGTGCCCGTGCCGTGCCTGTGCCTGTGCCAGGCTTGATGGAGAGGCCATTTGCACGGGCCAGTTTCAGGCCTGGCTTGTGACGGTGCTCGGCCGGTTGAAGGGCGGAGGTGTTTGGGCGAAGTGCACCGAAAGGTGGAGATTTGATGTACGATGATGTATGGCTTCTACCACAGGGGAAACACTGGAGAAGATGGAGAAGGTTGAAGGCATCAGCACGCGATAATTCGACTTTTCACAGAGCCCTCAACTGGTTTGACATTCACCAGATCAACCATGTCAAACTAGGACCTCTGATGTCCAAAGGATACCAACCCCCATTGCTTTTCCGGATTCGATCTCCCTTCACCGGCGACGGACCTCGTGGAGTCCTCGCGACGGGAGCGCCTCTCTGCCGAGACGTTCTCGTCAGGTCACCGTCCTGGATGCGTCCAAGGCAGATCTGGCGGCCTTCAGGCGAGTGATGGAAAAGGAGACAACGGTCTGCCTGCGGCTCCAAGGTTTCGATCGTTTTTGGGTCCCACTGGGTGCAGGTCAGGACAAACGATTATAAAATCCATGATCCAAATTGGTTGCTATGTTTGTTAACGGTATATATCTTGCCAGCAGATGCTCGCCGCGTGACTGTGGAAGATGGTGTGTAGCCGCTTGGGCAGGTGAATGATGTGCATGCGGCACTGCCTATCATGTTGGTGTACTCTTCAGGATTCGATCTAGCCATCAAGGATGTTAGGCCGATGACATCGTGAGCCCCCTTCACGACATGAGCAGAGAGATGGGGGCCCGAAGATGAGGACCCTCCACTCGCCACCTCTCACGAGACATGAGGACGCTGGCCACAGTCCGATCCACAATAGGAGGGACCGTCCATCTTGGAAGATCGAACCAGGGGGCCCCCGCGGGCGGGACCTCACGCGCAGCCGAACACGAGGCTGGCGCCGCAAAACCAAGAGTTCAAGTACAAGGCCGGTTTTCAGGGAGCGCTGCGATGCTGCTGAACATGGGATCCCCAAATCACCTCCTCGGCCCACGGAGTCTTCTCCGGAAAAGCCCCCGGCCCAAGAAGGCTGCTGAGCTCCAACTCTTCAACGAGCCACAGAGGATTTGGCCGACAAAAGACCATACACATTTGGAGTTTGTGTTGATTCCCCTTTTCCAGGTTGCTCCTTGTTGATTCCTAAACACCTCAACAATCCTCATTCACTTTTCAGGTTGCTCCTTGAATGATTGAATTCAAGGAGTTCTGTGTTCTGCGTCGGAAATCTTTGATGACACCATCCTTATTGGGATCGATTAGGAGTGTCTCACTTTTTTTTGAGTTGCAAAGGGTCGGCAGACCCCGAAATGTAGACTCTTGATTAATATAACCCCCCAATGTATGGATGGATGGAATAACTACTATAATACTATATAACTTCTTCATAATATGGGGGGGCTTTACTTATCAACAGTCTACATCAAGCGGGACCTTTGGTAAGCTCCCAAATGCAGGCTGAACACCCTCGCCGTTTGAAGGCCTGAGGTGTTTTCACAGCCGCAAACGCACCATAACGCCACCGGGGTGAGCTAGCAGCTGGTAGCTGCTCGGAACATCACTGGCCTCTTCTCATGGGGGCTTCTGGATGGTAGGACAGATAAGATAAGATAGGATAGGTTTTGGTAGGGTAGGATAGGATAGGGTAGGATAGATATATAGATAGATAGATAGATAGATAGATAGAGACTTCATCAGATTTTGTTTGAGTTCAAAGGGGTCCATATTGGTTGTACTTGATATTCAAAACCCTGGTTCTGGTCGTGGATCCATCCCAAGGATGAAAAAGGGGCCTCCGGTAAAACGCTGCTGCCGGGTAGCTGCTCTCATCCCCATACGTATGACACATACCGGCATGTTGCTTTCTTTCGTCCACGATCACTCCATCCGATGGATGTGAGACCGAAGACTAGGATCGTCAGATCGAACTTTGGGAAGTGAAACTACATTAAAGTAAAATTGATTTGAAACTACAATCAATCTCATTAGTGTAAAGATCTCATTAGTATCAATCAACTAAATCATAGTTCGCATACTAAAATCAATCTCATTGAGCGTAACATACTAAACTAGCTAGTTTTCATGGAGAGGGCTCTTTCCTCCATTTACCGGCCATCGAACCGCCGCTGGTGACTGGGTCACGGATTTGCTCTGGCCAGATACATCCGAACCTGAATAAGACGTTGGGTGCCTCAGGAGCTTTGTCAGGCCTTCCCCCACAGTAAACTAGATGTTGGTGGCAAGTGAGAAAGCACTCAGCCCTGTTTGTGGCCAGTGGGGACTTTTCTCAGAGTGCCAAGCCCTGTTTGTGTTATGAGCAATAACTCTGATTGGAATGCTAGCTGTTGTTGACCTATCCCCATTGAAACCACCACACTCACCCCCCGCAAAATGCCTGCTGAACGATGTCGGTCGCCGACGACTAGGCGGTTCCTGGTCGACCGAGGTCGCATGCCAACAACGTCTTAGAGGTCCGGGAAGCCTCCCGGGCCTACCGCGCCAACGCGCCGGTGCCATTAGTGAAGTGGCAGCCCGGGAAGCCCAGAAACGACCGACGGGTCGATCCCTTACGACCGGGGGACGGTGCCATCGGTCGATCATGCGGACGCTCAGCGGACTGGTCATGACTCGGTGCCAGAACCGTTGGACCTGTTCGAGTCTTGTTTTCCACTCATACCAACTCCCATTCATCAGGTTTTCACTAGATACCTGATGCCTTTAGGGCCTAAGTCAAGGTGTCTATGTGGGGCGTTGAGCCACACGTGCCGTATGTAGAGGAACGCTGTCTTTCAAGGGACCATTTCCTCTTCCATGTTAGTGAGTTGAGTGTATCTATTGACAATTATATACAATTATTAGATAATTCATATGAATTGAGCATAAAACGTGAGTGGTGCGATGTCGACGAGACAAACCACCCCCAGAGGTTTTCCAAGATTTCAGTGATGTCGTGTCGAGCGGAGCTGGATGAATCAGATTAAAGCACTGCCTCGCCTTGAAACAAGTAGCAGGACCCCCGGTTTGGGGTGGTTCATGGATACCCCTTAATCTCTAAGGAGCTAAACATTAGACACCCCGAGTTTCGGGGGCTGGGATTGAACGCTGTTTCTATGGGCCCAGCTTCCGCGGCCCCAAGCTGTAGGCCAGCGTCCGCGTCCTAACCGGCGACGGCGTTCGCACCGCGGCGAGGTATAAAAGCAGCAACGAGGACTTTTTGCCTGTGTCCGGGCGCCCATCATTGATGATTCTCGGCCGGAGGCTGATACAAGGTAGGAGCATATTGGATTACCTTGTGTGGTGTGGACATTTGTTTGATTGCAGCATGTGATGATGCTGATCGAAGGTCATTTTTGAAGGTGTTTGTGAACACAGTTCTGGTAATTCCAATGACTTCCTTTTGCGATCGTTTCTTGTGAACACCGGTGCTTCAACACATTGTTTCAGCAAAACACTCCCAGGCAGATCAGTTGTTGGCCTTCCACTACATCAGCCCGGAGATCCGAAGACGCGCCGAGCTCCGGGAGCGGCGCCGCGCACGTGCGCGGCCAAAGCCGTTGTTCGAAGAGCGTCCGGTCCAAGCGGGGGTAGAGGGCCAGCAACAAGATGCCTATAACATCCTATAACATCCTATAACTTGGGTCCGTTGTAGACTCTTGATGAATAACCCCGTCCATTTGAGTTGAAATCCTATTAAAATATGGGGGTTTATTCATCAAGAGTCTACATTACCTGTAACATCCCTGTTGGTATTTCCTCTCGAAAATGGGAGGGTTCGTGGTCCTCTGTGCTGACACAAGGGGGATCCTGTAACAGTGAGTCAACAAGCACTATTTTAGAGAAAAGGCCTGCCACCTAAGCATCATCCACTGGGCCCTGGTAATAGGATAGACCCAGCCTATATTGATCTATAAGCACTTCGCCATGCTGACAAGGAGGCGTCCACTGCGTTTGTGGTGGGATGTGATTGGGGATGAGGTGTATGTGCGTTGGCCAGTAAGGGGACAACGAAGATTCCCGTTGTCTCAAGCAGCAGCCCCCTCTAAACCATTCCCCAGTTCCAGCCGGGGGGGCAAACAGAAGCCCCAAAGTCCTGACTTCCAAAAAGGAAGTTGAAGATAGACCAACAAAAGGCTCAAAGATGTCTCATGTTGTGAACAAAGCTGGCTTCTGGTAGCAACCAAGCTTAAAACGTCCAGGCATCCAATGCTTCTCGTTTGTCCATCCCCTCCATCTCATCCACTCTCGAAGCGAAGCGACCGATGTAGCTGGACCGACGTGCACCGAGGATGGCACGCAGATCGTGCTGGAGCTGGAGCTCACCGACACGAGTATCACCCTTGAGGAGCCGATGAGTTTGATTCGTTTTCGGAAGAGAAGAGCCAGTTCTGAACGGGTGAACGGCGCGGTTTGGAGGTGGGCTTTTTGCCCCAAGGAGTCAACGGGTACATAAGGACTCTTTTTCAGCGAGTGTGGCCGGGCCATGGCGCGTGGTGCCTTGTTTTCGCGCCTTGCTGTTGGAACCGAAAGAGATGGAAAGGCTGGATTGGTTGGCTCGAAAATCTGACGGGGGAGAAGCCGGTTGGGGCGGAGAATCCGCGTCGATTTCGGGAAGTTTTGGAAAAGAATCCGATTGAACTGAGGAACTGACAGAAGCATGACAAGTTCCAGCTTTTGCCAGTTCCTCATGTAAGTATCATATATAAGTCTTTCTAGCAGAACGGGTCGAAGAAACAGGATAGTGTTTCCTACTGCAGTGGGACTTCCCACGATGTTTCTTGCAGAACTTTCCGACCGAGCTTCCTTTCGTCACCTGAACCCACTGGCTGATCGCCCGAAATACGCTGGCCCGTGAGGATGTTCAGATCAGATTTCCCGCTGCGGCATCGTCTAGGCCGGCCGAGAAGCCTCCTGGGTCGGTTCCGGGTCGGCATTGAGCGCCACGACGACTGGGCCAGACGACTCGAGATGTCTGATGATGGGTGGCAGACCTTCGGATCAATGGGTTCCCCCCGCGGGGGAAGTGAAGATATTTGGAAGTGGCTCAGATCGTCACTTTGTTTCGGATTTCGGGAAGCGAAGATGAAGAATGTGATCACGACGAGAGCACTGTCTCTGGTCACTCTGTTTTCTGCTGTCACTGGAACAGAGGACAAGAGCTTATTTGCGGTTGGTGTTGAGTTGGCCTTGGTCCTGCCCATGCTGTTTGGTCTGGGCCGTTCTAATATTTGTTAAATTATGAAATACCTTCAAATACCAACAATCCGGCGACTGAGCAGTTCTTTTTGAGGAACAGTTGAAGCTCAAGCCCGATCGATTTGTATCAAGCTTGCACTTGATTCTCTCGTTGAGGGGTTCATCGTGTTCATGATGACAAAGCT